CGGCTGTGGACTGAAAGGTTCCGGGTTCGATTCTGGTCAAGGGCACGTACCTTGGTTGCAGGCACATTCCCAGTAGGGGGTGTGCAAGAGGCAGCTGATCGATGATTCTCTCTCATCGATATATTCTAACTCTCTATCCCTCTCTCTTCCTCTTTGTAAAAAATCAATTAAAAAAAAAAGAGTGTGTGCCCTACATTAGCTGGGTCAGTTTTTTCAATTTCTCAATGCCTCAATTTCCTCATGTGTAAAATTAGTATAGAAATAGTGCCTTCGTTATAGAGTTGTTAAGGGAACTGCATAAGGTAATACATATGAAGTGATTAGCAAGGCTCTGAGAGTTACTCAATAAATAGCTGCTATTATTACCAATGTGGAATGACAGTGGGGTGGCAGTTTGCTATTCAATTATTGCACCCCTGCCCTTTCAGCTCTATTATAAGATCAAAGGATGTCAATGAGGAATTTGAAGCTACAGTTATCACTTTTGAGTTCAAGATCTTGGAAAAGACTAAAAAGAAAAGTTGGAAATGAATGTAAGTAGGATATTGAACAATAAAATTTTAAAAAGTTCAAGAGGCATGTCTAGTGCAACATTTCTCAGGCAATGCAATGGCTCTCCAGCTCTCACAACCACACCTTCCACAGATATCAGAGTACCAGTTCATCTCTGTTCTGGAACACACTTGGTATGCTTCATAGAATGTCATCCTATATAATAAAAGCCTAATATGCTAAGTGTCTGGTCGTCTGGTCAGCCGTTTAACCAATCAAAGCCTAATATGCTAATGATATGCTAAGGCCACTCAACTGCTTGCTATGACATGCACTGACCACCAGGGGGAAGATGCTCAATGCAGGAGCTGCCCCCTGGTGGTCAGTGTACTCCCACAGAGGAAAAGCTGCTCATCCAGAAGCTGGGATCAAGACTGGTGAGCGAAGCAGCAGTGGCGTGAGCCTCTCCCACCTCTGCATCAGCACTAAGGATGTCTGACTGACATCCCTTGAGGGCTCCAGGACTGCCAGAGGGTGCAGGTCAGGCTGAGGGGAACCCCCCAAATGCAGGAATTTCATGCACTTGGCCTCTAGTTCCCAATAAGCATCAGAAAAAGTTCACTGATGCAGAAGAAAAAGTTCACTGATTCATTTGCAGTAGAATCTTATCTAAACCTAAGAGTGTTATATTATCTTTGTTTCTCTTAAAAATCCAATAATCCTCTTTTTGTGTAAGACCTTGAGTCACAGTTACCATGCTATAATACTTCCTCGGATGCAGTTACCTACTACCTTCTAAATGCTTCCTTCTATTTCTGTTAGAGGGAATTCATTTGACCTCTTCCCCAACCATGAGGGAAGTATCGTGTTTTGTATCTTCTAGTCATTCATTATAAAGTAATGTTTAAGTAAATTATCTTATTGCCATCTCATTGATAGAAAAAAAATAGGCATAGAAAGAATATGTAACTGACCCTAATACTTCACTTACCAACTCTCTTCATTCCTTGAGGCCACAGATACTTTATCTACTCCACAGGGACAGCTTGGCCCTTACATTTTTAATAGGATGTTTCATTGCCTTACACTTTAAACAAAGAAAAGAATCAATCATGTTGGCCTAGTTCTGGTTTTGATGGGCAGGAAAGTCAGTTTATAATAAAGGACAAAAATGTTGTTCCACAGGAAATAAACACTGATGTGAACACAAAACAGGTGCTATGGTACCCCATGACCTTTGGGGTGAATTCTTTCCTCCAGACCCATGGTCAACAAACTGCAGCTCGTGAGCCACATGCGGCTCTTAGGCCCCTTGAGTGTGGCTCTTCCACAAAATACCATGGCCTGGGCAAGTCTATTTTGAAGAAATGGCGTTAGAAGAAGTTTAAGTTTAAAAAATGTGGCTCTCAAAAGAAATTTCATTCGTTGTCCTGTTGATATTTGGCTCTGATGACTAATGAGTTTGCCGACCACTGTTCCAAACCAGTGGGAGTTACCATATTATCTTTATATCAAACGTCTCTAAAGGTTCAATAGAGTCGCCTAAAAGGAATCTCTTAGAAGGAGAGGAAATGAAATTCAGGTAGTGAGGAATAGAGTGAAGAAATAAAATGTAGTCTCTATGGTTAAGCTGCTGAATTGTTAAAATCAAGTAGGCTGAGCCTTGAAAACGGATTCTATTCTTGCTTTAACTAGGCTGGGAACTTAAACCTTTGAACCTTCCAGTCGTGCCTGGAATATACACATATAAATCCTATAAGATAACCTCCTAACAGCCCTGAGGGATTTAGGGGGAAAAAATGTTGAGTTGACCAGACCGCCTGGCATCCAGCCTTCAGACCATCTGGCACCTATCATCTAGACTGGCACCCAACTGGACACCTGGTATTTGGCTGTTAACTGTCCTGGACCAATACACAGGCCAATAATGCAAGACTGACTGTTCTCAAGGATGTGACTTTTACAATAAGAACTCTTTAACTTTTCTTTTTCTTCAGAAAAGCTCTAAGTTTCCAGTTTGCAAACTCTTAAGACCCTGAAATAAATCTTTATCATTTTTTTCTATTAAAGCTTCCTGATTCATGTATGCTCAATTGATATTAGAAAAATGAGAGGAACACAATAATAATGTGATAAAAGCCACCCTCAGAAGATGTTGCCCATTATCTGTATAAACAGTTTCCCTAATGAAATTCTCACTACTTGAACCAAACAACCTCTTCCCCTTGAGGTAGCTCATATTGATTAAAGGTTTTCCTAAGAATCATCTCTGAAAACAATAAAGCTATTCAAACCTTCCCCTGACAGCTATAATATCACTTAAAACGTCTTAGATCTGTTAAGACCTCCCTGACATGCTCCTCCCCCTAACCTTTTCTCAACATTTCCTGTTGGAAATCTTTCAGACACTCTCCATCTAGCTTCCTAGGGTGTCTGGAGTGACGGTTTTTAACAGCTGGAAGAAGGATGTTCATCAAAGCTGAGAGCTGTAGCCCTCTTTTCTCAGTCGTCGCACAGTACTTCTATAAATACATACACAAGAATATTGGTACCATGGTCTGAATATGTACCCCTAAAATTTATATTATATTGAATTCTAACACCCAAAGGTGATGGGAAGTGCTTAGGTCATGAGGAGGGAGTCTTCATAAGAAGGATTAATGTTCTTATGAAAGATGCTCCAGAGCCCAGCAGGTGTGACTCAGATGATTGTCTTCCCATGCCTTCGAGTGACCGATTTGATTCCCAGCTAGGGAACATGCCTGGGTTGCAGGCTCAATCCTCAGTAGGGGGCATGCCAGAGGCAGCTGATGGATGTTTCTCTCTCTCCCTTCTTCTCTCTGAAATCAATAAAAAACTACTTTTTTAAAAAGAGAGAGAGAAAGGCTCCAGAAACATCCCTTGCCCCTTCCACCATGTGAGGACCCGGCTATAAACCAGGAAGAGACCTTCACTGGAATGCAACCATGCTGGCAACTTGGTCTAGTCTCCAGAAATGTGAGAAATTTCTGTTGTTTATAAGCTACCCAACCTGTAGAATTTTGCTATAACAACCCAAATGGACTAAGACAATTGGATTACTTATTTGCCAACCATCTCACAACACTATTGGCTCATAATGAGCTTGAAGTCAAGTAAAAGTTCTTAGTCTTTTTTACTTAAACTGCTCACAGGCCACATTTTCCCCCATATTACCCTAGGGCAATTGACTTTGTGAACTAAAGAACAAGACTTTATATTCCCCAATAGATGCAAAACACTGTGGGGTGAGAGCATGTATGGGGTAGGGTGGGGGGGCAATGGTAAGATATGTACACATATAATACCTTAATTTAAAAAAATAGGAATAAAAAGACTTTATAATTCCCCCAAGTTTTACCCTCAGTCATTCTCTTATCTGCTCAGTCTTTTAATTCCACCCCATAACTTGGGTTCACCCACAAATTTGACCACCCATACTTTCTATGACTTAGTTCATATAGACACAAATGCTACAATGGTCAGAACAAAATACATAGCCCACTGGCTCACCACTAAAGACCCACTCACCATCTTTGTGATGCTTTACCAATCATAAAACACTTTTTTGAATTATTTCATTTAATTCTTATAATGCTCCTGTGAGTAAGATACTATCATCATTTTACTCGTGAGGACAGATTCAGAAAAGACTACCTCAGTTGCCTGATGTGATACAGCTAATAAACAACAAAATAAGTAACAAGCCTCGCCCGGCTGGAGTGGCTCAATTGATTGAGCATCGTCCTGTGCACAGAAAGGTTGCTGCTTCAATTCCTACTCAGGGCACACGCCTGGGTTTTGGATTCAATCCCCAGCTGGGGCATGTACAAAAGGCAAGGGATCAATGTTCCTCTCTCATGTTGATGTGTTTCTCTCTCTCTCTCTCTCTCTCTCTCTCTCTCTCTCTCTCTCTCTCTCTCTCTCATTTCTCTCCATTCCTTTCTATAAGCATGTCCTCAGATGAGGATAAAAGAAAAAAAATTAGGGTTTCTGTTTCCAGTATTTTTTCAAAGTCAGATTTTTAAATACAATGATTAAATAAATATGCAAATATGCAATCTCCGTTTCCTTCCTCCCACCCAAGGGTATCAACAGAGACTCATTAAAATCGAGAAACATTTTCCAGAAACCCAGTAGGTAAAATAGACTAAAAGCAAGCTGCTTTGATAGAAGCAAGGTAGGAGACAGCCTCATCTCTCTATCCACCGGGGACATCCCCTCAAACTTGCCCTGGATGGTAATGTGACACCTTATCCTCCTCAGAGTACATTGGGAAGTCACTACCCAAGTGCATGTCCTCAAACTGTAACCTTTTCCAAAAGCAATTTTTAAAATAAGGCTGGGTTGCCATCCCTTATTTTTATAACACATTCTAAAATTTTGTGGGAGAAAACCCATCTAAGTGGTTTAATAACATTTTACAAGGAACAGAAGTGTTTTAAAAGTGTTGAAGGCATCTTGGGTTTATTCAAATGTTTATTTTACAGATGAAGAAACAGCAGCCCTGAGAGAAGTAACCCAGAATTATTCCGTGGAGGAGCAAGAACAAGAATCCAAGCCTGGACCCACCTAGGCAGGTAAATTCTTCTGATCAGATCATGGAGTCTCTCTCCCTTTTAGAAATCTGACCCTTTGATTACAGAACAACACTTAACAAGACGAAGTTTCCGGTTCCCACTCAAGTGGTTAACAAGTACGTTTTCTATACTCAGTATTAAATGGCATTGAAGATGACACAAAGGAGTAAAATGTGGCAACTACCGTGTTTCCCCGAAAATAAGAGATCCTCCAAAAATAAGACCTAGCACATAGAAAGATAAGACATCCCCTGAAAGTAAGACCTAGCGCATCTTTGGGTGCAAAAATTAATATAAGACACTGTCTTATTTTCGGGGAAACAGTAGTTTTAGTAGTCAGGCCTTGAAAACTGGTTCTTAGTATACAGGCATTACATGGGCTCCTTTGCAGTATACACAGAAAAACTTTATGCTAAATTTGCAAACATTCGAAGGAGTTCATACATGTGCCCCATGCCACCCCCCAACTTTTGGCCTCCAGTTAAGAACCTCTGGCCAATCCCAGGACAAGTGCCAGTGCCGGGCTTGCATAGCACCAGCTATCTTGTTTCTGGGTCTGTTGGTTAGAGGCTGCTTCTGTTTCAGCATCCTTCATCTTTTATTTAAATGGAGCAGCATCTTATTTTGGAAGAGCTTTGTTGCAAGAGAGGAGTAATGTTTTAATAAGTTATTAGTTAACCAGATGGGGCAAATTAATAGATAAATATAAGATGAAAACTTTTTTTTTTCCAAAAATGTTAACAATAAAAGTGGGGATGGTCAGTGTTCATCATAGGAATTTATTTTCTTTGTTTCTTTTATTTTTATAAAAGAAAGAAAATGAAATAGAAGTTTTAAAAAACCTAGATTACCACTACCTGCCTATTCACTTTTATTAAGCCAATAGTCAATGGGGGAGGGAGGAAGAGTAGGGGTAGTGGGGAAAAAGAAATCGGTGTATCTTCTGAATGATTGTTTCTTAATCCTTCCCTTTTGCTAGAAAAGATTTATGGTTCTGAAACGGTTCACAACAATTTCTTCATTTAAAATAGTTTGCCCAGCGGGGCATGGCTCAGTGGTTGAGCATCGACCTATGAATCAGGATGTCATGGTTCAATTCCTGGTCAGGGTACATGCCCAGGATGGGGGCTTGATTCCCAGTTTGGGGCATGCAGGAGGCAGCTGATCAATGATTCACTCTCATAATTGCTGTTTCTCTCTCTCCACCTCCCTTCCTCTCTGAAATCAATAAAAATAAAATAACCAGAAGCTCTGATATTACTTTAAAGTTATTGATAATAAGGCTTGATTTTTTACTAATTCAAAAAGTATCTGATGGACACTCAGCATTTGGACAGCACTGCTACGGGAGGCAGTATGGTGTGATGGACAAATTTTGGAGCAAGAGAATCCACGACTGAATTCCAGTATTGCTCCCTCCTTAGCTTTGATAATACATGAGGTACAAAACATTAATGAGCCCCAGTTTCCTAATCTTTGAAATGAGGTCATATATATTTTAACTCCTTTATGACAATTATGAATAAACATTTTGAAGAGTAATCTCTAAAAAAGACTTGTAATTTAATAACTGATAAAGTTCATATGTTGTGTCTTAGAAATGATCTCCTTCTCCTTTACTCTTTGCCTGGTATTAATAGCCTTAGCAATAGTGCATTAACATAATTTATGTAGCGATCATAACATTCATTTAGCCCTTCCTATGTATTATCCTAAATACTTTACACTTTTTAATCTTCCCGGAAATCATATGAAGTTCTATTATCATTCCTATTTTCCAGTCGAGGACATTGAGTCCAAGCTGTTGAGTAGCTCAGCCAGGGTCAAACCCAGACAGAATCCAGGGCCAGAGCTTGTTAACAACTCTCCAAGTTGACTTTTGCCAGGATTCTCACCCAACTCCTCATGTGTTCACCATGGGGCACATGAAGTAAAGGGGCTCACATATATGGTGACAGGTGGAAACTGAACTTTTGCCTATGAACATGCAATAGACTATAGAGATATCAAATTATAATGTTGTATTTCTGAATTATATAATTTACTAGAGACTCAGTGCACGGAATTTGTGCACGGGGGAAGAGGGAGTGTCTCTCAGTCCAGCCTGCACCCTCTCGCAATCCGGAATCCCTCTCACAATCCAGGACTGCCAGCTCCCAATTGCTCATCTGCCTGCCTTCCTGATTTCCCCTAACCACTTCTGCCTGCCAGCCTGATCACCCCCTAACCACTCCCCTGCCAGCCTGATTGATGCCTAACTGCTTCCCTGCCAGCCTGTTTGCCCCTAACTGCCCTCTCCTGATGGCCTGATCACCCACAACTGCTCTCCCTTGCAGGCCTAGTCCCTCCCAACTGCCCTCCCCTGCTGGTCATCTTGTGTCCACATGGGGGCAGGATCTTTGACCAAATGGAGGAAGCCATCTCGTGTATTGAAGTGATGGTCAATCTTTATATTCTTTTATTAGATAGGATAGAGACCTGGTGCATGGGTGGGGGCCAGCTGGTTTGCCCTGAAGGGTGTCCCAGATCAGGGTGGGGGTTCCCTTGGGGCATGGGGAGCCCTGGGCAAAGGGCCTGTGGTGGTTTGCAGGTGGGCCACACCCCCTGGCAACCCAAGCAGAGGTCCTGGTATCTTGGATTTATTTATCTTCTACAATTGAAACTTTGTAGTCTGGAGCAGAGCCAAGCCTCCTGCTAGCTCTATGGTGGCAGCCATTTCTGTTGGGATTTATGTGTCTTCTATAATTGAAACTTTGTAGCCTTAAGTGGAGGCCTGAGCCTGGCAGGGTGTGGGGAAAGCTTGGCTTCCTCCATCGCTGGGGAAACCCAAGCCTCCCTCTTGCTCAATCCATGCTGTAGCCATCTTGGTTGGGGTTAATTTGCATACCCACTCTTGATTGGCTGGTGGGTGTGGCTTGTGGGTGTTGTGGAGGTTTGATTGATTTGCATATTGCTCTTTTATTAGATAGGATTAACCAATGTTACCTCAATAAGTATAATTAATTTTTAAAATGGGGATCATGTAAGTTTATCACCTCACCAGTGCATGCTACAGTGGCACTTAATAAATGCTGTCTCTATTCCCTGAAGACTTCTACATGATAAGATTCATGTATCTTTGGGGGGGCCACCATTCAACCTACAAATAATATCTTTATCCAAATATCATTTATAAATATATTTTTATTTATTTCAGAGAGGTAGAGAGAGACATAAATATCAATGATGAGTGAGAATCATTCATTGGCTGCCTCCTGCACACCCCTTACTGTGGACAGAGCCCACAGCCCAGGCATATGCGCTGACCAGGAGTTGAACCATGACCTTCTGGTTCATAAGTCTACACTCAGCCACTGAGCCATTCTAGCTGGACTTAATCCAAATATCTTTATGTTTTAGGATATTCCCTCTGGCATTCTTGACAAACAAACCCATTCATTTAAAGAGGGAAAAGAACATTTCATCTCATCGAGTTGAGGCCTGTAGTTTTATCAGTTATAAAATTAGTTGGTTGAAATATTTCTCCTAATATGCCCAGTTGTCATGAGCCTTCTCCATGTTTACTTGAGAATGAAAAAAAAAAATTCAGGAAACAAACCATTGTTACCCATTTAAAAGAACAAGTTGGAGTTCAGCACTTCTCCCCTTTTTACTACAAGCATACCCATCGCCATCCACTTAGAAGGCAAAAGTGAAGGAAACCAACAGTAAATAGTGTGTCCTCATTGTTCTTCTCAAGAGAATGAAAAATCCACTTGGCTAAATTGTCAGCAAACTTTTTTCTTTTAGTACAGTTTATCATTTATTTATGTAGCTCACTTCTAAGTACAAGATTACAAAGGGTAATTAGGGTAATGTAATTGTAATTACATAATGTAATTGCCTAAAAGCAAGTTTTGACATTATTCTATAAACTCCTGTCTTTCCCTTCTCTTCTCCTCCCTCCCCCACTCCACGCCATAACATTAATAACTCACTGACCTGGAATGCTAACCAACCCAGTATGGAAATACCACTTGATCTGGGGATTTTCAGAGAGAACATGTCAACAATGCAGACTTTCACAGAAAGCCTAGTAGCTCTTCACTCATTCTCCTAAAAACAGTAATAACAGATACAGAAATAGATCAGCTGATGGCTGTGAACAAGTAACAGGCTACATTACTATTGTCTCAAAAATCACACCTATGAAAGATCAGTGTTGCTAGTCACCAAAATAGGAACACCACTGAACTCATCCCTAGAAGCTTTCCAGATTGTAGAATAAGAAATAAAGAATATGCCAAAAGAGCTCCAGCCAGTTTGGTTCAGTGGATAGAGCATACGCCCATGGGCTGAAGGGTCTTGTGTTCGATTCTGGTCAAGTGCATGTATTTGGTTACAGGCTCCATCCCAGCTCTGGTCGGGGCACATGCAAGAGGCAACCAATGGATGTGTCCTTCTCACATCAATGTTTCTCTCTCTCTGTGTCTCTCCTCCTCCTGTCCACTCTCTCAAAAAGATTACAAAAAAAGAATGAGGAAAAGGAAAAGGAACAACAGAAAAACAAAAGATTTTAGGAGTAAATGTATTCAGTGTTACAAAAAAAAATGACAAAGAAAACAGAAAATTATATAAGAAAATTCTATTGGAAAAGTTTTGGTTGACCAACTGCCTATGCAACCAGATTTCCTTTGATAGAACTCTGGGAACAGGCTCAGTGGGTATGCTTTTGACAAGTTGGGGCTGCAGTAAGTCCCCTTCCTGGCCCTCAGTTTGTTCCATGAACAAAAGTCTGCTTTTGAAGACCATCAAATATAACTGATAGAGATGACATAAAAGCTTAATTTTTAATGGTCTGATGTCTAGCTCCTATGAAAATCAAGTCCTTAGAACCACACAATAAGCAAGGAGTTCCTTTCCCAAATCCTGGGTTTGATGGCCAAGAGCTGGTGATGAAAGGCAGAGCTGCTATGATATGTATGGAACACAGATCTCAGGAAAGGAGTTTGTCGTGACAGAAAAGTAGTTTCAGTTGAACAATTTAGCCATTTTTCCCACTCTTACTCCCTTTTATGTGCAGTGAATATTGGGGTCTTATAAGCCCCTGCTAGGGTCTTTCTGCATTTAGGGTTCAGGAATTTGGAGAAGGGGCTGCATGTAAATGAATAAACTAGACATGAAATATAAATTTGGGAGGCATGGAGGAGCCAGGGGAGGCTCCATTTTCTAGTGAAGTGGGTTCTCCCAATGTCTGGATCCATGGCTTTTCATTCCCATTTTTCCCTTTAGCAAAGCAGACATACATATCGAAGGTTAGGTTTGGTAAACAATAAAGGACCATCAGGTTAGGGGAAATGCCTTCAGCTATTCCAGCTACAAGTAACAATATGCAGATTTTCAGCCCTGTTGAGAGTCCATTCAACCTTTTGAGGACTTCTCGAATTTATTATGACCTGCTGGACTTAGCCTCCAGCAGCCCCTTATTTCACATTCATATATATATATATATATATATATATATATATATATATATATATATATATGAATGTGAAATTCATATATATATGCTTGTAGAAATGATAAATTCTATGATGTGCTTATCTATCAGATAAGCACATCATAGAATTTATCATTTCTACAAGTACTGTAGGAAATTAAGCTACTAAAGTTCACTGATGCCAAAAACAAAACTAAACATGTCAACCTCTCAGAAGGTCTTTTGGTACTTTGGCAGCTCTCAATTTTCACAAAAAGAAGGAACCCCAATTGGTAATCACAATTATTATTTGGAGACCTTTGGGCCTGTTTATTCAGTTTTGGATGCTACATTTATGAAATTTTGCCAGACCAGTAACACCCCATTACAAATTAAGAATCTCAATGAATTTTTTAAAATATTATTCAAATTATTTCTAAGTATATTTTTCAATTTCAGTCCTTCATCATTTTTAGAGTTATTCATTGATATTTAATTTTTTTAATCCTGGTAAAACACATATAAAATAACAGTTTATTATTCCTACCCGTTTTGAAATGTGCAGTTCAGGAGTGTTAAGTATATTCACATTGTTGTGCAACCACAATGTTTTCATCTTTCAAAACTGAAACTCCATTCCATTAAGCAGCAACTCCCAATCCTGTTTCTTCCAGCCTCTGGTAACAGCCGTCCCACTTCATCTAGAGTTCGACTACTCTAGATGTCTCATGTAAGTGAAGTCATACATTATTTACCTGCTTTGTGACTGACTGACTGACTTCACTTAGCATAATGTCCTCAAGGTTCTTCCATGTCATAACATGTGTCAAGATTCCCTTACTTTTTTTTTTTACTTTCCTTTTTTTTTTAATTAAATTATTATCTGTGTACATATTTTAACATTGTCCCCCCCTTCCCATACATACCCTCCCTCCCCAGAGTTTTGTGTCCATTGGTTGTACTTATATGCATGTATACAAGTCCTTTGGTTGATCTCTTATCTCCCCCAGCTCTCCCTACTCTCCCCGCTGTAATTTTACAGTCTGCTTATTGCTTTACTGTCTTTATATCTGACTTTTGGTTTGTCAGTTTATAATGTTCTTTAATATCCATAAATGAGTGAGGCCATGTGGTATTTCTCTTTCATTGACTGGCTTATTTCACTCAGCATGATGTTCTCTAGTTCTATCCAGGTTGCTGCAAATGATGAGAATTCCTTCTTTTCTTTTTAAGGATGAATACTATTTCGTTATATGCATCTACTCCGCTTTGCTCCTCCATCCATCTGCTGATGGTGCTTGGATTGCTTCCACTTTTTGGCTACTGTGAATAATGCTGCTTTAGCATGTGTGTACATTTAATGACTTTTTAAAAATGATTTGTAATGACTTTAAGGCCATGGTTAGTGCTGCAGCTCAGTTTACTTTTCCCTTCTGAAAACAGTGAGGTAGTCCTTAGGAAAATATCTTCTGAGGGAAAGGCCATCCAGAAGCTATAATCTTTCCTCTTTCCTTATTGGATAACAGGGTTTCTTTTTCTTTTTTCAACAGGTATTGAGAGATTCATTCTAAGAAATGACATTATACAATAGTTAAACGCTTGGCCCAGAAGCCCTACTTTCCCCTCCAATATTGGCAGAAATAAACAGGGGTAACTGTCGTTTCTATATGAGTCAATGAAAAGTCACTAGGAACAGAACAAGATATATCAGCCCCCCCCAATTACAAATTTCTCTTCCTGTTCATAACATCTACACAACACTAATGTACTAGATCTTCTTTTTGATAGCCACACAACACTGAGATTGATCTAATCTGGATGTGATAGTTATTAAATTACTATGAAATATCTGTTAAAGTCAAATTCCAAATTTTCTTCCCAGACAACAGAAGTCCTTTATTCATAAATACCTCTGGAGTCTGGAGGGGAAAAAAGCCAAATAATAAGTATAGCTTTGAATACACAATTACTCAACACATGCCATGTTGCCCAATGGCCTCAAATGATAGTTGGACTAGAAATACATGTTTCCTATTGTTCCGCTTTTGTTATGTTAATAAAAATGAGAGGCAGCAAGGGGTTCAGATAGCCACAAAAACACTCTGCTCTTATATATAACTCTAACCAAAACTGTCCCAACAACAACTTGGATAAATGGTTGGTGAGACTTTTCTTTTTTTTAGCACATTATTTCAATAATTCTCTTCTATGTAAAAGATTATAAAACATAAGAATAACTTGTTGCCTAAAAGCAATAATATGCTTTGACTTACAACTGATCGTTTTTTCCTCTCTGAGGGGTCTATAGGATTGTCCAAATATCTATTTCATGAGTAAAGAAGGTTCATTAACTTCCCTACGGCTGTTTAAGTTTCTTCTCTGGCTTTGCTTCATTACAACTCTTAATGGTTTTCTTATCATACTCCGAGCTCTGAATCCATCACTTCTGGTCTGACTTCTAATATTCAACCTGGTTCCATCATAAAGAATTGCTTATCTAACAATGGCTGGAGAGTACCCTACAATGGAAAGAAAATTCCCAGGAAAATGTTAAGCAAGGATAGAACTTTCTACAGGGCACAGAAAATATTGTAGTCACCCACAGAAAATTTAGAGCAAGATATCTGGAAACTGTGAAACCAATGGACTATCATTGAGCCTGACTCATACATAGATCTGAGGCTTTGCCATTAACCACAGGCACTGAGTCGCCCTACAAGAGCAGCTTGCAATTCGTTCCCCAGAACAGGAACCATCACGTAAGATTGCACAGTACACAGCCCACACGGTGGTATGTGGAGGCCCTGACCAAAACATATTTGAAAATTTGTTCAGAGATTGCACTGCCTTTTAAAGTAGTGGTTTGTGGTAATGCAGTGGCTTTTTCGTTTGTTTTTTATTGTACAGGCACTTCAATTAGCAAGCATAATTAAGGGCCAAGGGTTTTTCCCTATAAAATATACAAAGCACTTCGTTTTTTAAAAGTAACCATTATAGAATATGCCACAGGACTTTTTGACTTTATAATTTAGGAAAGTATTGCAAATAATGTTGTACCAATTCATAAGGAACAACAATAAACACTACTATCACTAGTACTATTACTTCTGAAAAGCGCAAAATAACAATAAGAGACAGCCTTATGGTTATTTTACACTGGAAAGCCGTGACAGAGAGATTTGGAACTTTGCCAAGACACAAAGTAAATTGAATTAATCACTGACTGAGCAAAGAGAAACAGAGAAAAAAGATTTTTAAAAAAAAAGTAAGGGAAAGAAAAGGAAGTAAGGAAAAGAAAATGCTGCAATAGAATTCCTGTCTCCAGATATTCCCATCCTGGGATTCCGCGCCGCCCCCCTTCCCCCCGCCCCCCATTAGAACCACTTTTCTACCTACCAATCTTAAATTATTACTCACATAGAGTAAGCATTTTAATGAAATGTAACATCACTTCACAATTGTTTTCCCCCCACAGAGTTCATGAACTGAGCCATACCAGCCAGGGTAGAGTGATTTTTTAATGAATAACAAAATACAGTGGAAACTAATCAAATAGAACAGAACAAAAAAGAATGCATCAGCATGCACCTATTTTGAGATGTTTGTTTTATACTCCTGTACTGTACATTTCAAAATGGATAAGAATAAACTGCGACTTTTTGTATGTTACCAGAATTAAACTATTTTGGGCTATTTGTTTTAGTTATATAGTTATGTGTGTATATGTAGCCTGCATCACTAAGTACACAAAATGTACTTTTCCTCTTTATTGTGTTTTAAAATGTTTGAATGCCAATCCTTTGAGGAAAGGTATTATTTAATTCTGTTAAGAATTTTTAGAAAAAGTTTTTCAGAAGTTCCGAGCATAAGCAAAGTTCACTGGAATTTGAAATAGGATAACTCTGGAACTTTCAAATGTTTCCTTTGTTTTTTTCTTTTTTTTGTTTTTGTTTTTGACGGGGGTTTTTTGTTGTTTTGTTTTGTTTTTTGTTTTTGCCTTTAAAAATAATTAGTATATTTTATTGTTAAGACAGTTTTCCCCCTAGCTGATTTAGCTCAGTGGATAGATAGTGTGTCAGCCTGTGGACTGAAGGCTTCCAGGTTTGATTCTGGTCAAGAGCACATGCCTGAGTTCTGGGCTCGATCCCCAGTAGGGGGCGTGCAGGAAATGGCTGGTCAATGATTCTCATCATTGATGTTTCTATCTCCCTCTCCCTCTCCCTTCCTCTCTGAAATCAATAAAAATATTTATTTTTTAAAAGAACAGCTTCATATTTACAAAAAATTTTTGAAGAAATAATACAGAGTTTCCATATACTCTCCATCCAATTCCCCAGTAACAGCTTACATTTACATAACACTATCATTAACTAAAGCCTATACTTTACTCAGATTTCCTTAATTTTCACCTACTATCATTTTCCAGTTCCAGGATTCCATTCAGGATAACACAATACATTTAGTTGTGTTTCCTTAGGCTCCTTTGGGCCATGACAGTTTTTCACAATTGGCTTGTTTCTGATGACCTTGAGAGTTTACGGAGCACTGGTTAGGTATTTTATAGGATGCTCCTCTATTGGAATTTTTCTTATGATTAGACTGAGGTGTGGGTTACTGGGAGGAGATTAACGAAGCTAAGGTACCATTTCACAGCATTGATACCACAGGTATACACTATCAACAAGATTTAACACTGTGGATGTGGGCCTTGATCAGCAGCTGGCTGAGGTAATGCTCCCAGATTTCCCCACTATAATTTTACTCTTTTAATCCCCCTTCCACACTGTAGTTTTTGGAAATAAATCACTCCGCTTCTTTTTAAAAAGAGCCAATTTAATTAACGAAAGTTTGAGCTTCAGTAAGTCATATTAAGTTCTTTCCAAAGAATGCTACTTCTGAGTGCACCATCCCTTTTTAGATACGACATCTTTTTCTGCAAGAGGAGGACACTTGCCGAAACCGGTTTGGCTCAGTGGATAGAGCGTCGGCCTGCGGATTGAAGGGTCCCGGGTTCGATTCCGGTCAAGGGCATGTACCTTGGTTGCGAGCACATCCCCAGTAGGGGATGTGCAAGAGGCAGCTGATCAATGATTCTCTCTCATCGATGTTTCTAACTCTCTATCCCTCTCTCTTCCTCTCTGTAAAAAAATCAATATTTACATATATATATATATATAAAAGTGTCCTATATATATATATATATATATATATAAAGGACACTTTTAAAAAAATTTTTTTTAATCCATACCTGAGGATATTTTCCTATTGATTTTTAGGGAGACTGGAAGAGAGAGGGAAAAGACAAAAACATTGATGTGAGAGAAACACATCAATTGGTTGCCTCCTGCACAGGCCCCAACCAGGGCCTGAGCTAGGGAGGAGCCTGCAACCAAGGGAGGTGTCCTTGACTGGAATCGAACCCAGGACCCTTTGGTCTGCAAGCTAAGACTCTATCCACTGAGCCAAACTGGCTAGGGTAATTGTAGGTCTTTCTGACTTTTCTCTTCAATTCCAGATTCTGACCTTTTTGGAAGTAAATTTAACCCCAAATATGTTGGGGTTTTGTTTTGTTTTTAACATTCCTTTATAGCTAGTATTTAGAAAGGTAAATCTCTTACTGGGGGGAAAAAAATCCAATAATTTGGAGTACTTTCTTTAGGTGGAAGAGAGCTGTAGGATCAAGTCATCTGAAATATTCCCCAGGTAAATGCCACCCTATCCAAACACCTGCTACTATCTTTCATTGAGGTTGCCTAACTTTCTACCACTCCTGTTCCCATGGACAAAAACAACAACAAAAAGCGTCCTGAGCAAGCCCAGACTCTGCTTCTGTTACTTCCCCACATGTTCTCCCTACAGTGCTCTCGTTTCATGACTCACATGTGGGCCCATGTGAACACGTGTTGTTTTTATTACTCTATTTTAACTTTCTCCTCCATTCAGGCCAGAACAAAGCCCTTTCCCTGAGTAATGTGGATCATAAGTCCAGGTCTTCTCCCTCTCATTCTGGGAAAGGAGGGGAAATTTTACCTCCTCCCCCACTGTACCCAAATCTAGAGAGAGGAAAATGCCATTGCTTGCTGCTGAAAGAGCAGTGACATTCAGCAATAAAAGACAGACTCTTACTCGCCAATCAGGTGTGAACTAACTTCTTAGTGGGCTTCCAGTCCTTGCTGTTTTCCACTGTCTTAGTGTCCCCGCCCAGTCACAGGGTTCCCTTTAGGATTCAGTCTCTCCCTCTGGCTCCCCAAACTCATAGTCCTCCTCCCTCTCCTTCCCCTCCATCTGGCAAAACTCTGCTTTGGGTCTCTTATCCATGCGAAGATGAACATTACTGACAGGAACCTTAGCTTTGCCATTTCCCAGTAATATCTGCAATAAACAAGCCTCCAGATGTTCCTTCAGCTTGGAGGAGAATCTGAACTCTGTGGTTGCAGGAAAGTCATAGGAAAGGGAAGAGTAGTGTCTGGGGAAACAGAGGCTGGGGCTGAGGCCTTTCAGATATTCTACACACCTGATTCCACTGTCCTTGCTCAACATTGAGTCTTTGAAAGACTATGACTCTCTTACATCGATGCTTTTCTCTTTTCTCTTTCCCTCTTCTCCCTCCTTTCCACTCTCCCTAAAATTAATAGAAAAAAAATATTCTCCAGTGAAGATTAACAAACAAAACAAAAACATGCAATATCTGACTATATTTAGTCAGGGGCACTGACCTCCTTTACAGTAGATTGTCAAATGAAAAACTGACAACAGCCAGTACAACAATAACTGCCCAGTGTGGATGAATCAAAATTACTCCTTTTTTTTCCAAATTGGCAAAAAAAAAAAAAAAAAATTTGTTGTTGTGCCGCAGAATTTTAGTAACTAGTTTATGTGTGTGCCATGAGATGGAAAAAGGTTGAAAATCACTGACTTATAAATGTAGAACCTAAATATAGTGTATAGTCTAACAATAGGTTGTAGCAGATGGTTTACCAATAATAACCAACTCTCTCACCTTTTCATAATAAGAAACAATAAATACACAATCTTTAAAATTGCTTTTCATCAACAAGAGGGAAAAGAATCAGAAAAAGGGGGAAAATCAATGCTTTTTTTTTTCTGACTAGATTTAATGAGAGTGAAATGAGATGTGACCATATAAAGCACTTTTTATATGTTAGAGCTGGCTACTGAAAAGGTTGAAAAACAATACAGGGAACTGTAGAAACTGGCAAGAAAAAAAAATATTTTTTTAATCTCAATTCTTTACATTGCTAGCAGGATGTGACCAGGGTCTTACAAGGCGTCCACCTTCGGTGTAATAATGTTCCTAGGGCTCAGGCGTCTGGGCACGACTTAGCTGAGGGCCTCTGTCTCGGGGTCTCTCACAGGCCTGCAGGCAAGGTGTCCATCAGGGATGTTCAAGCAAGAAATTTAATTTTAGAGGGGAAAGCAATGGCCAGCCAATTAATTTGCACATTTTTAAAAGCTAAACTGTAGAAAAAGTAAATAGTATGTCTAAATGAGTGATTTATCTCATTTATGAAATTGAAACTATCATTAGGACTATTTTAAATGGATTTTCAGTACAAGGTTGATTCTAAATAAATAGCACCCATGAGAGAGCAGAGGCATTGATTTTCCTGAGATGACTGTTATTCAAAATCATTTCAAGGTGGCTTTAGAGTACAGGGAAGACAGCATGTCCTCATCCTCTTAACAGCATTCCTGTTAAAAACCTCACTCCCTGGGTAAAAAGCAAGTCCAGTGGTCAGCAAACTCATTAGTCAACAGAGCCAAATATCCACAGGACAACGATTGAAATGTCTTTTGAGAGCCACATTTTTTAAACTTAAACTTCTTCTAACGCCACATCTTCAAAATATCAATAGACTCACCCAGGCCACGGTATTTTGTGGAAGAGCCACACTTAAGGGGCCAAAGAGCCACATGTGGCTCACAAGCCACAGTTTGCGGCCACTGCACTAACCCTATAGTGTTTGGCCTCACTCTAACCATTCCCTCCTCTTCCTTTTCCTCATACTCCCGGCATCCCTCACTAGATCTCTGTGTTCCATTACCTGCCCCCCTGGACCACCTATCAAGTTCCTTCCCACCTCTAACCTTTGCATAAGCACGAACTGAGCCCTCTATCTTGGCCATTCTCCCCACCTGACTACCAATTGTTCCATTAGACACAGTCATCCCTTGGATCTTATCGAAAGCATCTCTTCCTCAGAGATAAGCTCACACTGGATCGGGTTTCCCATAGCCTTATTGCTCTGCTCTTATTACTTAATATAAACAACTGTCTCCCCAACTGGACCACGTTTCCTAAGCAGAGGGTCCCTCCCTGTCTGAGCACATTCTCCCACCTTCAGCCAGCACAGCCTGGAACTTGACCCCTGAAGAATGTACTCTCATGTATTGATCAGCTACCTGGCACCACCCCAGACTCTAGATAATGAAGAGGAAGCAAGTATGGGTCGCCATGAATAAGATTTTTTAAAAATTAGGTTGAGTTTGACATATACAGTTGTCTAGTGAGACAGCCTAAAAGCTCAGTGATAACCTATAATTTTCTGTGGAAAATCCCAGTTGCTTATATAATTTCGCTCACTGAAATGATCACTCCTTCTGTCGCTCATTTCCTTCCAGACCTAACAGCATGGGTCATTGCTCTTCCTCTGCAACAAGAGCTAGGAATTAAAAACAAAAATTCATTGGCAGTAACTTCTCGTGGAGGTCCACCTACCAGGACAAGGCCTTTACATCTACTTAGTTCCCACTCTGGCTTTGAGGAAAGATGGGAGGCTGACTTTTCTTTTCATAGGAAAGTAAAACAATTTCAGTTGTTTTAGCTGCTCATTTGAATTACCTTGACCATTATTACAGAGATTTACGACCTGGCAACACAAAGATTTGCCATTTTAGCCAAAACTGGTTTGGCTCAGTGGATAGAGCATTGGCCTGGGGACTGAAGGGTCCCGGGTTCGATTCCATCAAGGGCATGTACCTGGGTTGTGGGCACATCCCCAGTAGAGGGTGTGCAAGAGGCAGCTGATCGATGGTTCTCTCTCATCAGTGTTTCTCTCTATCCCTCTCCTTTTCTCTCTGTAAAAAATCAATAAAAAAATATTAAAAAAAAAAAAGATTTGCCATTTTAAGTGTTTTGTGGAAATTATTCTTATCAGAAAGTGTTACTTACCAAAGCCAAGCTACGGAAAGTAAATAGCAGTGAACTCTATGCTACTTAAGCTGTGACTCTCAGTGACCCATATGTTTTTTAAGTTGGTGATTTGACATTCATTTCTTCACTCATCCAACACAGCAAGTATTGACTGGTTACCATCTCTGTGCCAGGCACTAGGATCATGAGGGTCTCCCCAAAGTCTGAGACACTGGAGCAAAAACAGCTTGCCTGACTCAAAGGAGAATCAGAGAAAAAGGAGACAGCTGCAGGTCAGAAGATAGAAATGATCTTCAAAGACAGTTAACTGTCATTTTTATGGTAAATGCTGTCAAAATGGACTCAGATGAGGTGGCACCATTAATTTCAGGAGGAAGCAAAACGGGCTCAAAACAGGTCAGCTTGTTCCCCACAGACACTGCACTGTCTACTAAAGTCTGCAAATCCTTCCCTAGGATCGTTTTCTTTCTAGAAGATTTACATGTAATTATAGCTGTCCTATTTGAGAGGGAGGGGAAAAACACACAAAAACCACCACAACAAATGACTCCTCAAGGGTACACTCTGTGCTTCCCATTTATTTCAGAGGTCCCCAAGACCATCCACGTGCCCAGGGACTTGCTAGAATGACTAACAGGACTCAACATACATTGTGTCCACAGCTATGGTTTACACAATGAAAGGCTATGCAACAGGATCAGCAAGGAAAGAGACACTGGTGAAGACTGAAGAAATCCACTCACAGGCTGCCTATGCTCTCCATGAGTAGACACGGAGTATGCTCCCCTCTCTACCAGCAAAGACGATACATGTGCAAAGTTTCTGCCCAGGGCAGTCAGTGAGAGACTCCACACCAAGGTTTTTATTGGAACTCGTGTGGCCATCCTCTGCGTGGCAACAAGCCAAATGTCAGGCTCCCAGAATAAAGCAGGTGTTCACCATTAACTACAGAGTTTGCATAATCTGGGCATTGTGAATCATCTTTATCCATCAGAGAACGGAGAGGGCATTCCAAGACCCAGGGTCCCAGGTGCCAGCCGAAAGCCAAACTTGCACCAGGCCCTGCTAGAGGCAGCAGCCTCAGAGCCGCTGTGTTAACTCTTCTGCACACAATTCTTTACATCGTCTGCCGGAGCATGCTGAGAGAACAGAAAATTCGTGTTTATCTCTCTCTGCATACATGGCTAAAGAAAGGGTGGTTAGCCTCAATTTGTAGATTGTTACCGCTAGAGTTATTACTAGAAATTATCATTTTTTGGACGAATATTAATTACATTAAGAACATTGTTGCTGTGTCGTGTTGATGATTATAGTGGCAATATTGTTAACTTCTGTGGTGCATTGTGTATACTATCTCAATATAATATTCATATTAACCCATTGCATGATCATGAACACGTTAAAATCATGACCACCTCGGCAGATTCCGTGTCTGGCTCCCTGTGGTAGTTCTCTTCTAATCGGTTGCCTTCTCTCACAGGACAGCTTTCTGCAGCTGAAGGAGCCAGCCATGGATTTCAGGCGCGTGAAGGACTATTTCTCCTGGCTCTACTACCAGTACCAAATCATCAGCTGCTGTGCTGTCCTGGAGCCCTGGGAGCAGTCCATGTTCAATACCATCCTGCTCACCATTTTCGCTATGGTGGTGTACACTGCCTATGTTTTCATCCCAATCCACGTCCGCCTGGCTTGGGAGTTTTTCTCCAAAATGTGTGGCTACCACAGTACACTTTCGAATTGATCGTGCTCGCGTTCTGTGAATTCGCAGTGCACATGCGTACGTTGCTTGCAACTCCTTGTTTTAGGTGATTACCGTGTCTTCTTTCACTTTCTGATCTCAAAAGCTCCCACTTTTCTATGCACTTCTCTTAGGTCCTGCCTGAAATTTGCAATAGAGGCCTCTTTAGGTTCTTTTGTACATGTTACATTGTGTATCAGACCAAGATAATACAATGACCTTACCTCACGTACCATATTGTATCAAGTTAAATCTATGACTTTAGTGTGTGTAGTTTTTTAATCAGGAAATTTCATATAAAATTTTTTCTGGAAAGTAGGCTCATGAGACCTATCAGAAACGTGTTTAAAATATTTGCTCCCTTGATACCTATTCTATATTAAAGGGTATATTTTTTAAAATGTGTTCATAGGCTACTGTCAAAATATCAGATCCTTGTTTACAATATAAAGGTGTGAATGAATTATATGGGCCCCCCTAAAGTATTGTGGGTTTTTTTGTTTGTTTTTTTTACTCAACTACTAATACCTAAAATCCTTTTACTTCAAGTGCAAAAAAATAGGCTGGAGGCAATTATCTGCTGTCAGACATGGTTCCTGAATCATTTCAAATGCTTCTAAATGTCTGGCTTTTATAACAATTTCAATATATTTTATTGATTTTTTTTTTTTTTTTTTTTTTTTTTTTTTTTTTTACAGAGAAGCAGGGAGAGAGATAGAGAGCTAGAAACGTCCACGAGAGAGAAACATTGACCAGCTGCCACTTACACACCCCCTACCGAGGATGTGCCCACAACCAATGTATTGTACATGCCCTTGACTGGAATCGAACCTGGGACCTTTCAGTCCACAGACCGACGCTCTACCACTGAGCCAAACCGGTTTCAGCACAATTTAAAATCAACAATGTTGATTTTAGATAACCCAGTAAGTATTATAATACAAAATAATTTTTATGTATAAGAAACAAAATATAATCAGAGTAAATTCAGACATTGTGACTGTGTGTTGTGTTGCCTTGCATGATGCTGGAAGCGGCAGAATGGGGGGAGAGAGAAGAAATTGCTTTCTTTCTGTGCTTTCACTCAGTGGAGTGGGGAGCATATATTGGGCTGCAGAAAGAAAAGCTAATAAATAGGCTGGAAGTAATATTCTGCCAGCAGGAACTCGACAGCTCCATTTAAATACTCCTTTGCAGAGAAAAACCAAGATTTATTAAATTTCCTTCAAAGCGTTCATTTTAAAAACAATTGCTACCCTAGCTGGTTTGGCTCAGGGGATAGAGCATCATCCAGAGGACTGAAGGGTCCCAGGTTCGATTCTGGTCAAGGGCACATGCCAGGGTTGTGAGCATGATCCCCAGTAGGAGGTGTGCAGGAGGCAGCCAATCAATGATTGTTTGCCTCTCATCATTGATGATTCTCTCTCTCTCTCTCTCCCTCTCCATTCCTCTCTGAAACCAATAAAGATATATATATATATATATATATATATATATATATATATATATATATTTTAAAAAATAAAAACAATTGCACATTTTAATTATACTGCTGAATCAGATGTGAATGCCAATGATCAAGCATTGCAATTTTTCTTTCCTCTCAATAAATATCAATATTAGTGATACTGGAGGGTAAAAGTATAAATAGTTTTGGGACAATATTTGCATTCTTGTTTGTGTCATGGAGAAAAAAATTTCCAAAAAGAGCTAGAACTATGTTTGGCATGCCAAATTAACTTGCATGTTTATTTTTAAAAACACACACAAGCACATGGTTTGAAGATAAATCAAATCTGACATGTATTTGTTGATTTTTGCAAAATAAAATTAGGTTTAATTTTATAAATAAAATATCCACTTCAGATTTGCTTTTTTCCTCATTTACACTATCTAGATGCTTATATCCGTTATCCCCCCCGCCCCCAAAATTATCATTTCTTACTAATCCATAGTGGCACCTGATCGTGAAACAGTAGGGTAAAGCTAACATTTATCAAGGGTCTTCTCCAGGATGGACATGTTTTACTTGTTGAGATAGGTGTTAAGGTCTCCCAGTTACGGGAAAGGAACCTAGAATTTGGAAAAGATACATTTCTTGTTCAAGGTCTTTAGCTACTAGAGGCAAAGCAAGGAAGCAGGTCCAGGTAGGACCACACAAAAGCCCATGGGAGGACAACATGAGCAAATAAAAGCCGATGGAATGGGAGTCACCAGGTGTGAGAAAGCAGAGCCCCATCAAATAAAAGGAGACAGCTGGGGTCAGAGACACAACAAGCTCAGGTCCCAGCTCCCGCCTTTGCTGTTTCCTCGCGTCCTGTGCTCACCATCTCTATGCTGTCCAGGCCCATATGCCTCTTTTGAAAGATGGCTTTCCCTTTTAAATATTTAACAGAGGGTTCTCAGTTAAAGCATGAACTTGGATGCATTCCCAGTTCGCAATGATTCAACACCCTTAGGTACGTGGACCCCTGCTAAGTACTCTTGGAATGCAATCACAAAGGTACTGCACTGACCTTAAAATCCTCCTTTCTAAAAAGAAGAATTAAAATAAATAGGAACAGACACAGCAAGCTTGATAAAGGGTATTGCAAACCACAGCCCCAGGATGTCACTTTAAAGGTAAGCATTTCCTCTGGGCAATCAAAATAACAAAGACATATACTCTGGTTTCTCTTCAGATCGCATAAATCTTTCACCTTTTACAAAATAGCAAAGACAGGGTACAAAAATATAATCAAATATGATTGAGGGGGGTGAGGGAGGAACAATCTACAGAAGGGAAGAGGGCTGTGCCTGCCCTGCCTGCTCTATCATTTTCTAGTCGAGGAAGAAATGCTCTTGTCCTTGACCATAGTTAGCTGGATTAGAAACACTTCTTACATGCTTTTCCTTGGCTTCTGTTATTTGTATGTTTCAATGGTTATACAACACTTAAAAAAAAAAAAAAAAAAGCCAAAGTTTCATAGTTGAAATAGGCTTGCATTTGTCATTCACTAACTAGGAATCACAAAATGTTTCTTCATTGGTATTGGCCAAGTCTATAGTTGTTTTTATCTATTTGTGCAACAAAACACAAAATGTCAAGAAATAAGGCAGCTTTAACATCAAGAGAACACTGATGTTAATTAAAAGTCTTTAATTAAAAGTTATACATGAAAAAAATATCATTAGTCCACATTTTCTACAACTTTCTTCTTTCATCACTACTTTTTTCTTCCTCTCAAGTAGAGCACGTACCCGTAGAAGGCAGGAAACTTGACCTTATCTCTGAATCCCCAGTATCTACCGCAGGGTCTGGTACAGAGCTTACAGATACACATCCTAGGGAACGTAACAGTTCCACACAGAAACAAGGAAGCTCACTTTGCACTGGGCCCGTGGTCGGCAAATTGCGGCTCGAGAGCCACATGCAGCTCTTTGGCCCCTTGAGTGTGGCTCTTCCACAAAATGCCATGGCCTGGGCAAGTTTATTTTGAAGAAGTGGTGTTAGAAGAAGCTTAGGTTTAAAAATTTTGGCTCTCAAAATAAATTTCAATTGTTATACTGTTGATATTTGTCTCTGTTGACTAATGAGTTTGCCGACCACTGCACTGGGCCAACCTCAGAATGGACAGTTTCCAGCTATTGACCAAAAGAATAACATTCATTTTGCATTCAAGAATGTATTCAAGTCCACCATGTATTAATAGGCAGAGAAATAGAGAGATGAATAAGTAAGTGATGAAGTACAGTAGAAACTAATTGGTAGGTATTAAGGTATTAATTATAAAGTTCTCTTAACTTTACTGCATGTTTGAAATTTTTTATTTAAAAAATGCTGAGGAGAAAGTCTACCATATGCTATTTATTGAGTTTACCAGTAGGAAACAAAGATGAACAAGATAGAAACAGAAAAATCCCTGAATTTATGAGTCATACAATTCTGTAGGCAAGATGACACAAGAAAAAAAATATTTATGAATTATAAGATCTTATGAAAAAAATAGCGGCCTGCTGGAGAAAAAGCAACAGAGGGCTGAGGACAGTGGAGCACTTGGGGGCTGCTTTTGAATAAAATCCAAACTTCTCTCAAACTTCTAATCCATATGAAACTCAAAATTCCAACGGCTCCTTTTTATTGTATTTCTAACAGAGGCAGCGCTTAATCCAGATGTCTGACTGTGGGGGAGGGGGAGACTGCAAACCAGAGGAGAGCTGCTCCGGTTCTACCCTCCCAGCCTCGGCCTGCCTCACCCACACAGGGCAGGTGCATTCCCTAGCTGGCACTGCTGGGATCACTGGGACCAGTGATGGAGGACAGCCCACTGTCACTCAGCTCAGATTCCCACTCAGTGATGAGACCAAAAAAGGGAGGAGGAGGAGGAGGAGGAGGAGGAGGAGGAGGAGGAGGAAGAGGAGGAGGAAGAGGAGGAGGAGGAGGAGAGGGAAAGACAGGGAGAGGGGAAAAAGAAAAGGAAGCATTATCCTTCTGCTTTCTACGTCCATATCGGAAGGCCCTCACAAGAAAATTGCAATATCTCTCTTCCATTCTAATCCCTCCATGATCTTCCCTGATCTCGCATATTTTTTCATAACATGAACCATGTCTAAATTACATCTTGTTCATGTTAATGTTTTAGTTACTTTTGTTAAAATAATTCACTTTGCCCCAGATAAGAAATCTTCTGCATAGCCAGGCAACTGATCACTTCCCCATCCTCTAGTCGCTCTTGCCTTCCCTCTAAGCCAAGGCCTGGTTTATAAGGATCCCTTTGCCTCTCACCATCCCCAGCCCCTCTCCATCGCTATTTCTCAATAATCTTGTTAGAAAAGTAGGGACTGAAGTCTCTCCAGCAATTCTTCCCCTGAAAAAGGCAACAGTCCATGACTCAGCATTTCTGCTTCCCAAAGCTTTCCCTGGTGATGGATAGGACCCTGCTCCTGCCCTGACATTCTAAGGCCTTTGTAACCCTAACACAATTCATCCCTGTTGTGGGAGAAAGGCAATGCAGTCCATAAACAAAAACAAGCAAGCAAGCAAATACACAAAACTCCAAACAGCAATCAATCCGTTCCTTGCCTGAGAATTGGGAGAGAAAATTAAGTTTATTCAGTGGGTGATGGGTTTAAAGGGAGAGGCCTGTCTGGAGTTTATAGCTTGCATTTCAGTAGCTATCCTGCTCACCCTACTGCAAACCCCTCTTCTGATTCCCCCACATACCCCCAGGCCTTTTAACCTCTTCATGGCCCTCACCTGCCTTCTCCTACATGCAGCACAAGTTTAGTCCTCTCTACAACCTCAATATTCACCAGGAAAAGGGATTGCAGGTGAGGATGGGCAACTCTGAACAGAAAAAAACAAACAAACAAAAAAACAAACAAAAAAAAAAACAGGGAAATGGTTCATGCCCTGGTCTAGGCCAGTGGTCGGCAAACTGTGGCTCTCGAGCCACATGCGGCTCTTTGGCCTCTTTGAGTGTGGCTCTTCCACAAAATACCACGGCCTGGACCAGTCTATTTTAAAGAAGTGAGCTTAGAAGTTTAAAAAAAAAAAAAATTGGCTCTCAAAAAAAATTTCAATCGTTGCATTTTGATATTTGGCTCTGTTGACTAATGAGTTTATTGAGCACTAGTCTAGGCAATAGACAAAGTATCCCAAAAAAAAATCAGCTGTCAAATGCGACCCCATCTAGTAGCTTACCTCTCGCACCTTATTATGCAAAGGGGACACAATTCCCCCAGCCCTGAGTTACCTTTCCCGGAACCATAGAACACATCCGGCTCCACGAAAGGGGCAGAAGAAGTCTGTTGCCCACATGCCCACATGCTGTGCCGCTCCGGGGTCAGTTCCCAGTAATGTGGGCGCTGCTCCCAGAGGGCACGGACCTTGTGTGTTCCCGTGTATCTCTGTAAAAGCTCACTAACGAGCAGAGATACGAATACATTAATAAACTTACTATTCCAGTGTAGGCTGCATGGAGTCCCATTCCAGACATGATTTGGGTCGAGTGGCTCACCTGTAAGGAGAGTTTTAAAGCCCAAAGGAGCAGTGAGGATACTGTTGCTGGGCCTCCCTTGCATTCTCCGGCCTGTTGCTTCCTCTTTCCCGCTCACGGCGATCCCCCACGTGGGCACCGTTAAAAAGGCGGAGGATCAACAAAGGTGTCTTGCTAATTGATATTTGCTCCTCAAGTACCAAGCCATTTGTTCTCGTCTGTGGCTCTCCATTAGAATCATCTGGGCGTTTTAAAAAAAACCACCGGTGCCTGGCTCCAACCAGAAATATTACATCGAAATCCCTGGAGCGCTCCTGCCCCGAGTCTGATGGTTTAAAAAGCTCCCCAGGTGATCCTAATATTCAGCGAAAATGGAGAACCTCTTTACCAGGGTTCAGTGAATGCTAATTAAGTCACTAAAATGCAGCGGAGAGCTGGACCCTCCACTGACTCTCTCCCACTCGCTGGTTTCCTGAACATGTATGTCTATGTTATGGTCATGGCACCACTGTTTCTCTACACACAGCCTTTATTGCAATAGACACGGCTTCCCTGCAGTTCTTCAGTACAAGTACTAAGCACCCCCACAAGAGCTGGAAGTACGAAGTAGTTAATAATATCCCACTCCCAGCTGGATTTTATTCCTTGTAATGATGTCTTCAACCACTTCATCACGCGTCATTTAAAAGCAGTAAAATATCCCAATTTGAGCTTGTAGGCATGAAGCTCCAAATGCATGCAGCCCGGGTCGATGAGCCTGGCGGAGCCTTTTCATTTGCAACCTGAGCACAAGATCACGTCAGGATAAGTGGACTAAGCCAGACAGACAGAGCCACCAGCACTATCAGAGCCTGCTGGGCTTACTCATCACGCTGGAACACTGAGCATCTTGCGGGGAAGGGATGGTGCCTTGTTTCCTTTTGTTTTTAATCACTTGCAGCTATACATCGTTACTGTGAGGTATGTCACACACATATGCATCATGTATATGTGATATTGGGAATATCAAAAACATATAGACACCAGCCTTGAAAATTCTCTGAGCAGATGGAATTAGTTGACTCGTTCAAGCAAAGCGTAATTTAGCTTATTGTGCAAGGCTAACGTGGCCTGGGTTATTTTTTGCTTATGCCTCTGGAAATCATAAGCAAAACTGTTTTCCAAAAATAGGTATCTGGTAACCACTGACCAATTCCCTATCATTTCAAGAAAATTCTAATTTGATAATCACTGTGAAGAAGAGTCACAACCTTCCCAATCTATAAAATGCTTTACAAAGACACTCTGAGCCTCAGTGCATATTGTGGTTTGAGCCCTCCCAGGTCACAAACTGTCTGTGTGTGTGTGTGTACATGCACGTGCACATGCACACAATACCCTTTTGCTAATTACTACTTTGGTGATTCATTTCACTTCTGTTACTTATAAACTTTCAACTCTATATACACACATACATACACACAGGCTCATATATATATATGAGCCTGTGTGTATGTATGTTAAATATATATATATATATATATATATATATATATATATATATATATATATATATATATTTAACTGTCTAGCTACACCAATGTAACTGGTGGCAGAAGCCATTCTAATTAGAAACTAAGCCAGCCAAATGATATGTGTGATAGAAAAAGAAACACCAGCCGAAGCCGGTTTGGCTCAGTGGTAGAGCGTCAGTCTGTGGACTGAAAGGTCCCAGGTTCGATTCCGGTCAAGGGCATGTACGCACATCCCCGGTAGGGGGTGTGCAAGAGGCAGCTCGTCGATACTTCTCTCTCATTGACGTTTCTAGCTCTCTATCTCTCTCCATTTCTCTCTGTAAAAATCAATAAAATATATTTTTTTGAAAAGAAAAAGAAACACCAGTCACGGAAAGGCGGCACTGTTATTAACCAGCGAGGAGTAAAACCGAGTTCCAGTTCTTACTCCACCTGTGTAGCTCCAGGTTTCCCTGCTGTGAAATGCAGGGCTCACCTGGGGGTGGCATCTGTGTTTTTACCTCCCTGGTTCCTCCAAGCTGGAAGGCCCTCCCTGAGGAACCTGTTGAGACACGTTCTGAGGTTGCATCTGCTCACTGGAAAGAACACTGTCATCAACACATCAGTGTCAGTCATGAGGCAGGAGAAAGCCAAATACCCAGAGAATTACTTCCCCAACGCATGGAGACCAGTAGAAATAAAATGAACGCAACTATTTACACCACCTTAACTGTTTATACAAAAGTGTACACACACTGGCATATAGCTGTCTTTATCCAGTCACACTTAACCTTCAGCTCTAATTCAAATTCTACCTCCTCTTCTAGGCCAACCACATTCCATGGTAATAAATGGTCATCGTGTAGCATGTGCTGTGTGTCAGGCACTGTTGTAAGCATTTTGTGTATGCAATTCATTTAATTCTGTTAGGTGGATGCCACTATTATCCCCATTCCACAGATGAGGAAAGCCGAAGCACAGATTAAGTGATTTGCTCACGGTTACCCAGTCAGTGGTAGAGTTGGAGCTGGAACCCAGGCAGTCTGCTCCAGAGAAAAGGTAATTAACCATTGGATGAAATGGTACCCACAGTTTTTAGGGTTTGTTTTGTGTTTGCTTTGTATTGTTTACTGATGCTCTATGATTATAGGAGATCGATCAACATGGTAAGCACTCTGAGATTTAGGCAGACCTTCATAGAGGTGACCATATACCCTGGTTTGCCTACCCAGGGAATTTGGGTGGGGATGGGGATATTCAGAGAAGGCTGCCTAAATGAAGTAATGCCTGAGTTACATATTAAAGGATAAAGAGCAACTGGCCACATTGAAATAAGCAATTAAAATCAGTTTATTCTCTAATAAACATTCTCCCTTGCCAATTGTGTGGGCCTCAAATACATTCTTTTGCAAATGGAGTTGACCAGCCCTCTCCAAAACTCAAAGAAAACATTAAATGCCTGCAAGAATAAAGTTCAGTCTTATCATAATTGTGGTAACTTGCTTTACATGTGAAAGGCTTAAAATGTCATTTAAGGTGGTATTCTTAGGTTATTAGGAAGGTGGGGGAGAGAGTTAATAAAACCCTTACTTAGGAGAGGAGAAAGCATTTCAGGGCACCAGAGAGTAAGGGAGAGTTCCCTCTTACAGTTGAGAGCTTCAGACTCTTCAATAAATCAAAGGTAATGAGCCGATAACGCCATGAGAATGTGAGGGAAAAGATGCATCCTGGTGAGTTTCAGACAAAGACTGTTTCTGCTTATGCACTCTGAGACCTACTTCAGGGATGGTTGAGCCAACAGGAAAGCACACTGATCAGATAGAGAATAAAGTGGGTCCACACTAGAATCCTAATTTTACTTGTTTCTGGTTTGGTGATCATGCCTTTCTATTTAACAGTCAAATTTTTCACATGTATTATGATAGTGAATAGTTTTCAACCTGATCGTGATGACTTGATTCCATGGTCTTGCAAAGGTACAAGACTTGTAAGACACGTTCACCTGTAGACCTGAAAGCACTCAGCCACTCAGAAATGTCTGGGAAAACAGCTGGCTTCTCACTTCAAAGCCACACCCAGATAACTCTGGGTTAATTTCCATAATAGAACACTCAAACCAACCTCAAAAGTTTACCTGGTTTCATATAAAGGGGCAGGTAAAGGGCATTGGGAAATGAAACATCAGATGAGATGGTGGAAGCCAACTTAGAAACAATAAGAAACCAGTCAGGTTATAAAAAGAGATCATGACCTGGGCAAAAAAGAAATAATTAGGAGTTAGGAGAACAGAAATAGGATGTTAAGACCAAGTGAGAAATTCCAGGGGCTGGAGTGGAAATGCTATTGGGCAAACACAATGGTTCCTACCCTGGTAAGGAGCCTCTTGGGCTGCTAAATTCCAGATGCCCCTGAGATGTTGGGATGGGAGGAGACATTTGGTCGACCTGATTCAGCTCGCCAGGCTCAGGGCCAAAGCAGCTCCATCACTTTCAATGCTCACTCGTGGCACCATTCTTGACTTTGGAAAGGTGCCTTTGACAAGTCAAAAGATTCAGGAAGGCAGCAGAACAAGCTTCCACCTGAAGTCATCGAACATTAGTGCCCACAACCAAGTGCCCTAAAAGTTACAGCAAACCCCAGTGTGCCCATTTGCACACTTCTCTGAAAACTGGAACCTTTTTTTTTTTTTTTTAATGTTCGTGGCTTTTCCTATTAATTTGTTCAGCAAAACTTTCATTCACAGGGCAAAGGTAAGCTGAAGCAAAGCCCTGTTTGATCACAATTTTTCATAATGTGTGACATAATTCATTTAATGTCAGTTCTCCCTGAGATAATACAGGGCAAAAACTCTATTTTTGTCTCCCACTGTAGCCTCATTACCTGAAACACTATCTGGCACCGAGTAGTCCTCAATAAACTAGAAACACCAATCAGAAAGGATATATGCACCCCTATGTTCATAGCAGCACAATCTACAATAGCCAGAATTTGGAAACAGCCTAGGTGCCCGTCAGCAGATGATTGGATCCAAAAAGGATGGTACATCTACACAATGGAATACTATGCTGCCATAAAAAAGAAGAAATTCTCATCATTTGCAGCAACTTGGATGGAATTGGAGAACATCCTGCTGAGTGAAATAAGCCAGTCAATGAAAGAGAAACACCACATGACCTCATTCATTTATGGATAATAAAGAACATTATAAACTGATGAACCAAAAGATAGATATAGAGACAGTAAAGCAACAAGCAGACTGTCAAATTACAGTGGGGAGGGTAGGGAGATCTGGGGGAGATAATAGATCAACTGAAGGTCTTGTACACATGCATATAAGTACAAACAATGGACACAAAACTCTGGGGAGGGAGGATATGTATGGGGGGGCAATGTTAAAATATGTACACAGATAATAATTTATTTTTTAAAAATGTAAATAAATAAATAAATAAATAAATAAATAAATAGATTTATAAAAAATAAAATGAGTGCTCAATGTTTTCAATCCCTCTCTGGTTGTTCTCAAAGGTCTGCTCTTTCCACTCCCCTGAAACAATTCCCTCCAAGCTGTTTTGAAATTCAAACAATTAGCAAACTCCACTCCTTGAAAAACTCCCGTCATTGTCCATGGCACCAGGACAGAGTCTTTCACAACTTTCCCAGTGCTTTCTGACTCCTGACTTCCTCCCGCTCCCACACCATTAGTCTCAGCAGCACTCACACCTGGGCCTCTGCCTTCATTTCCCTCATGATAATTGACTGAACTTAGTCTTAGCCAATCTAGGTTTCCACCTAATACTTCTTGCTGATGAGCCCCAAAATTTCACATCTTCCCTATTTAACCAAATATGCAGTACCCAATTTCAAATACCTTCGGAAAGTGTCCCTCCTTTGTGCTCCTAGAGCCTTCTCATTCTCTCTATGTCATAACATATATGTCAGTCTCTGCCAGACTTCCTTAGGATAAGACCCACATCATGGGTTTTTGTATCTCCAGCAGCTAGCATAAATCCTGGCCAAAAATAAAAACAGGCAATTGTTGAATAAATGAATGAGTTTTAAAAACTACTACTAAAATATTTTTATTTGAATCTCTTGCAATATCAGACTTTACACCAGAAAGATGCCCTTCTTCCATAAATTCCTTTGCCTGCTGAATTTCCTGCTGGCACTTCCTACCTAAGTATAAAATCTTCAAGTCCTCTGTGACTCCTCTCCATTTTTCTCTCTCATCACATTTTTAATGTTTCCTTTGATATTCTATGTCCTATCCATTCCCCATCCCCCCTATCAACATGCAAACCTAGGGAGGCCTCAGGTCCCATCTGGATTACAAAACCCTCCCTATTCCCAAACATACAAAGATTCTCTATTATCTGCTACGGGTTTGTAATGTGATATCCTTGATGTCATTGTTAGGTGTCTCCATAATCCACTCTCTCCTCTTCCCCAACTACTGGCTACTGACCCAACTTCAGCTCAGCTTCCACTGCTCACACCAGGCAGGCTGCTCTGGTCATTGATCAGTTGAGTAGTGGCGTGTGCTCTCATCTGGACTCCTTTCCTCCACCATCTATGGATTCTGCCTACAATTCAAGACTGAGAGCAAATAAATTCTTTTTTTAATGGCTTTGAGATATCATTGGCATATAAAAATTGCATAT